TTTTTTACAGATTATAGAGGTAGAAATAAATTTGTTAGTTTATTGACTCATATACAAATTCCATAACTTAAAACATATGCAGTCATTTAACTTCAAAGAGATAAAATTTTCTAAATTTTACATACGCCCAAGGCACATACAGAAAACAAAAAGTAAAACATAATGGTTTGTGGTTTTTAGATAAAAATGATGACAAAAATGATAGCCCTTTAAGACGGTGGGTCCTTCTTTAGAAGTTGAATACACATAACTCTCATATGGATTCCAAACCAATTAAAATGACAGTTGAAAGCTCTGGTAGTAGGTAGAAAGAAGTTTTATCCAATTAAGTCATGTAAAGAGTGTAAATTATTCACTGATTAACTGTGGTTCTGCTAACATAGCCATTATCCTTCTGTAGTTCCCTTATTGACAACTTTAATCTTGGTGAAGCTAACTTCTCTCAATCTCCCTTCTCTGCTTCCAAACCAGACCAGAACCCTCTTAACCTCCCACATCAGACAAGGCTGGGGACCTTCGGGGAGGTAGAGCTGAGACAACTCTTTCTCCTTTTGGTGTCTCAGGCCTCAGCCCCATCATTCTGCCAAGCTCTTTGAATGCTGAAACGTCGAAGTGCTACAAGAACCTGTGTTGAGGCTGAAAAGGCTCAGAATCCTCATGTCCCCCGATCTTTAGAAAGGCATGCGCTGGCACCGATTCTGTGTTTGTCTCCAGTTATTCAATCTCATCAGTGCTCGTGAAGCACCTGGACCTTGAGAATGACGCACAGATCTACAGAGCAGGCCATTAGCACCAGCAGCTCACAGCGCCCAACGCCCCCTCCTCTGCAGGTAGCATGGCCCGTGTGTATGTGGCAGCTTGTCTAGGGGATGATCACAGTGCCAAGCAAGGGGTCTACTTTGTTGCAGGCTTTCTCCGTGAGGAACTGACACCCCTCTGCTGCAAAACGGCTCTCTCTAGGGAAATTTCCAAGGAAAGCAATCTCCACACAGTGTGAGCTGAGGTCACAGCCAGAGGCTTAACCGAAAGTGATGTCTTCTGAACCAAGGACAAGAAGCAATGAGGAAGCAACAGCAGCAGAGGCCTCGCAAGTGATTAAAGCAATGACAATAAAAGCAAACTCTTATTTTCTCAAATCCCCTGGCCTAGGGGAGACATCCAGGGATGCAGAGTAACCCTGCTGTGCACTGGGCTCCTGATGCGACCAGGTCATACCCTGGAAGGACAGAAAGACCCACTGTAAGCCCACACCATGAGGATGGAGGGAAAGGTAGACTTTTGCTGTACATTTAAAGCCTGCAAGGAACAAAGCAAGCTCAGGAAAGGCGAGGACGTTCACACTGTACAGGGTCAATTTTCCCCTTGAAGGACCAAAGTCCTTTCAGTCTCCACTGACCAGGGATGGGAAGGAATTAGCAATGCCATCACAGTCTCCGTTATCCCATATCTCAGTCGCCTCAGTCAGAGCATCCTGTGTGGGCAACGCTAGGTGTCTGAGGGGTTCCATCAGCATGCTGAACTCTTGTGTGCACAGCCTGTAATTTAATTCCTGTAGAGCAACTGCCGGTTCCCTCCAGACTGGAGCACCCCAGAATAATGAGCATCCCAGCTATTGCTCAGTAACTTACTCTGTGTCACCTTAGGGAAGGGTTAAAGCAGTGTGCTCTTTGGTGTAGACTACACCTGCATGGGGGCGGGCGGGGGGAGGTAAGAACCTGGTTTTCCTCCTCCTCAACCTGGGAGCAAACACACTCCAATTAGAGCTCAGAAATTTTCTGGGCCTGCGCTCCTCTAAAGGCCTTTTGTGCCGCAAACCAGGTCTTTCCTACTCAGACACCATCTTGAACAAAGGCCCGTGAGCAGGTGCATCCCACACTGCTAGGGTTTTACAGTGAACGTTTCCAAAATAGATGAGATTTTAAGGCTACCCGCCGTCATTTCTGCCACAGGCAGCTCTGTCAATGAGGTTGTTGGCTAGGATTCTCTCTGTGGGATGCATCTGTAGACGGAGACATTGGCTAGGAAACTCTACGCAATGCATCTGGCTGTATTGTCAAGGCGTATTTTAGCTCATACGCGCTACGTTTCCCTGACAGCCTGAAGATGAACTTGAGGTCCTTTGGAATAAAATGGGTGTGGACCATCCCGTCATGGGAGACCATGCTCTGATACGTTCCGAGTCCAGGGGCGCTAAAAGACCAGCAGACAAGTGGGAAGAAAGACATGGCTA